TCCGTTGTTGTAGCAGAAATTGTGATGCAGAACATCGAGGACAGCGCCCTTTCGACTTGCCGACAGAAGATACCACTTTGGTTACGCTACGTTGACGATACTTTCACCGCCGTAAGACACGACGAAATCGACGCATTACACCATCACCTTAACGAACAAAACACTGACACATAGTTTACTAGAGAGGTGAAGAAAATGGTAAACTATTTTTTCTAGACTGTCTGGTAAGCTGTGACGACAACTCACTACGGACAACAGTTTACAGGAAACCGACACATACCGACAGATTACTGGACGAGTCATCCTACAACCCGACATCACACAAAGCCACTACAATCAGGACTCTTACCCGACGAGCGCAACTAGTATGCAATACGACAGACAGCTTATCCGACGAGAACAAGTACCTTAACCGTGTTTTTTCAAAGAACAACTACAACGAAGACTTCATCCAACGTAACACTCACCGACCTACTACTACTACCGAAGCTAACGACAACGCAACTCCTACGGCCATAGTAACTATACCATCCATAAAAGGCATATCTGAGAACATCTCGCGCATCCTAAAACCATTGAGCATCCGCGTCGCTCACAATCCTATTACCACACTACGTCAGTTACTGACTAACGTCAAAGACAAAGACGAACCGAGGAACAGACGAGGAACAGTGTGTAAGATCAATTGCTCCGACTGCCACGCCTCTTACATCGGTGAGACTGGCAGAAACCTCACAACTAGACTGACTGAACACAAACGAGCGACGAGGAAAGGCAATGTCAACAATCACATTGCTGAACATCACCTACATACGAACCACACTATTGACTGGGGCTCTGCGCAATGCCTAACCTACAACACCAGCTATTTTCAATGACTGACCCTGGAAAGTTGGTTTACTAACTTGGAACAAACTTCCCTCAAGAGGTGTCAACCACTACCGGCACTATAAAAACGACTCATTCACGACATTAACATTACAAACGAACCGAAAAGAACGACCTAAGTTCACTAACGGATCCAAACCGACCAATCACGATTGACCTACGCCACTTGAGTCTTACAGCGAATAACATCACGGCAAAACTGACCAGTCAGTTTATACAAACCGGACTAAGTACATTCGACTGACAACAACCTTTCACTTGACTCTGATGATGACTTCCGCTCAGATTGTCGAAACGTCAGTCACCATTACCGACAACAGTCCTTTTTAGGACCACACTCACCTGGACGATCAAACTACACTATTACATGTTACCTCCTGGTTCAAACGATTTATTGTATCAACCTTAGAGAGTTGCATGCCGTCAAATGAAAGGTCAAGACATTGTTTTGCTGAATTTGCAATTTTTTGTCTGGTCGAGATTATACTGTACTTTGTCTTTGCTGGCTGTATTTTCATTTTATTTTCCTTTGCCCACATCGATACTGCATCAATGTCAGGTTTAATTTTCTCCTCGACTTCAGCTAAAGAAGGTGCAGATGCATAAACGGTCGAGTCATCGGCATAAATGCCAATATTATTCTTCAGTACCAGAGGTAGATCATTTATGGAGAGCAGAAAAAGAGCAGGACCAAGAATACTCCCCTACGGTACACCGGAGTGAATACCGAGCGGTTCAGATAGTTTACCCTCAACACATACCTTTTGATACCTTCCGCTAAGGTAACTTTGGAACCATTTGAGGGAGTTAGTGTTCAAGTCATATACCTAAACTTTCTTGAGCAGCAGTTTACGGTCTACAACGTCGAAAGCTTTGCGCAGATCGATCATAACAGCACCAGTAAAGAGGCCTTTATCCATTGCTGCTAGCCGTTCATATGTAATTTTGACAAGGATGGTTTCGCAGGAGTGGTTAGCTCTAAAACCCGATTGGCATTTAGATTAGATTGTGATTAATGAGAAAAGCAATGAAGTGTTTGCAGACATGTTTCTCGAGAATCTTCGAAATGACAGAGAGGACTGACGTAGGTCTGTAATGTTCAAGATCGGTTTTACTCTCCTGTTTGTAAATCAGAGTGACGCGAGCCAGTTTGAGTTGAGCCGGGCAGATGCTGTTAATTATTCTGCAGTGTATCACTTTTGCTAGACTTAGAGCAACTGTAGGAGCGATTAATTTTAACAAAGGGGAACTGATTCCATCAAGTCCAGTTGCAACATTTGATGGGAGTGATTTGATGATTTCTAAAACTTCGCGTCATGAAATTGTGGGTTTACTGAAATCAGCGGAGTTGCCAGCTTTTTACGATTTATGAAATTCACCAAACTGGTTAGATCGGGTTCAGTATTGATGGTGTTATAAATTATGTTATCAGCAATAGAGATAAAATTCTCATTGAATACGTTGGATATTTTTTTCTGGGGTAGAATAGCTGGTTCCGTCTTTGGTTAGAGAGTTTATTCGACTCGTCTATTTCGCTTTGGTGGGAAAAATGCTCTTCAAGGTCTTCCATAGGACTCCGGAGTTCAATTTGCTGTTGTCTATTAATAACCGCTTCTTTTTTGGTTTTTTCAATAAGTCGTACTACTTTGTTTCTAGCAGAATTAAAAGACATTCCTTGGATTCGCCCCTTTTCGAGCTCTTTCTTGAACCAATCGCGCTTTTTAATCGCTGTGAGAATTTCTTTCGAAAGCCACGATGGTTTCTTCATAGATTTAACTCTGACTGATTTAAATTAAGCATATCGATCTACCATATTGAGTGCAAGGGTTCCCCAAGTTGATAACATTTCGTCTGGGTCGTTGTCAAAGGTGTCAAGGACGGTCTAAGGTACTTCATTTAAATCTTTAATGAGGCTGCTAACATTCAGATTATTTAAAGGGCGGTATGTGACAGTAAAATGAGCTTTCTTGGTAGATTTCAAATTTGCATTTTGTTTGCGAACCAAAATAGTAGGGTTGTGATCGCAGAGCCCAAAAGCTGGTGATGTTATACTTAAGACGTGCTCAAGATGAGAGCAGTAATGGTGATCAATAAGAGTACTAGGGTTTTCATTTGCTGAAAACCTTAATATACCATTAAATGAAGTATTTGCTTTGATTCGCTTGTGGAGTTGACTATGACTACGATCTTGAATTTAAGAATTAGAGAAGAACATTAAATTTACATTTACATATACTGGGTCGGTAAAATCGTTAAGATATCACATTAACCGCATACCTTGAAACCGATCTTTTCGTGAGCGTGCCGTTCTTTACATTGAAAAACGGCAGCTCACGAAGGAACGTTGTTAAGCAATGCTACTCAGTAATGACAAACTTATACGTATATTTCATTTTCATTATCTCTGCAGAGCCCTTCATCCTATTGGCCGTGCCGTCAAAACAATGAAATGCTAAGTGTACCTAATCTATATTTTTTTTTCTTTAATACGCTAATAACGTCTCTTAAACATTTGACTGAACAATTGAAATAAACATGAAAGAAAAAACAAACAAACAAACAAACGGACGACTTCAAGGGAGAAACTTTTTTCGTTCTTTTTTATTTTTTTTTTCCGAATAATGATTTCCTCTAGGTTTTTATTGTTTGCTTAGTGCGTAATAAAGTCAAACTCTGCAAGAGGGTCTCAATTGAGCCAAACTCTACAAGAGGGTCTCTATTTGATCAAACTCTGTAAGAGGGTCTCAATTGAGTCAAACTCTTTAAGGGGGTCTCAATTGGGTCAAACTCTGTGAGGGGGTTTCAATTGGGTCAAACTCTGTTAGAGGGTCTCAATTGGGTCAAACTCTGTAAGGGGGTCTCAACTGGGTTAACCGTTAGCCGTAAAATGGCAAAAAAACGTTTAACAGTTAGGCACAAAAAATGGTATTTCTGACGAATGAGTCTGCGAATAAGGCAGAAATAAATATTTTGTCGGCACGAGATACGACAAGGCCCAAGCATCATGGGTAATGATGCAGTGGCATATAAGGGAAAGTATAGCACGTGGTGTCCATCTAGGCCTCAGAACCAACCGTTCACCTCTGGCTGATGACAAATTTATTTTAGTTTGAAAACATTTTTTCTTTAGCTGTGAAGCCTCGTAGGATGGGCTGCCAACTGCTCTGAGTTTGGGCCATGGTTCCTACCCAGATTTCCTGTCATGTTTTTTTCTCCAAAGGGTTTTTTTCTGGCAGGTTTTTTCTGGCCTCTGTATAACCGTAGTTATGTCCTTGTAAGCGGTTGCCCATCTCTGTTAATCCAGACTTGGTGAAGTTTGCATGTTAGTAATGTATACCTTTTTTTTTAATGTGTAAGGAATTGACTGTATATCAGGATTGTATATGGCATATCAGTTGCGAATATATGTATGTATGCATTCCCCGGGCTATATATGCCTCGGGTTGGTTCTCGGCAGGCTTCCCTAAATAAACTTATTTGGTGTACACTACTGTGTTATTTGTTGTGTAGTGGAGACAAAATTTGACGTTTTTGGAATTTTAACAATTTTACATAAAAGGGTACTCGCTGTAAAATGCATGTTTTCATCGTCACGGAAATAAAAAGGAATCACCGAATTCGCAAGGAATGGGGGAGCTGAGGGAAATTTCACGCCCGTGTCGAGGAGGTATGGTTTTTGAGCCTATCAATTTCCCGTTATAGGTCTCGAGAAAGTTACGCAGGCGCAAAAAGCTGACTTTCAAGTTTGAAAACGAGCATAGAAAATGACATGGTTTGGTTAAGATATGGGGAATTTTAATTTTAGAGAAACAAACGCCACAAGAAATTCTCGGAAGTATCCCCTTCTACTTTCCGGTTATATGTGCAAGGGTTAAGGCGCACTCTTTTCCAATTGCCTTAACGTTCACCTAGCTTATTAAATAGTTCCCAATGAGAAAAGAAAAAAAAACAACAGTAACAAAGAAAAAAGGAAAAACCAAAATATTGCCCTTTTCCTTGAACGAGTGCGGAATTCGAGAGTCTGGGGATCGGTTCCTCGGAGGGACTCGGAACTTTTTTTCTTTATCTCAAAACCAAAAAAAAAAAATTTAAAAAAACATTTTGAAGATCTTTTAATTTTCAAATGAATATGATTGAAGGAATGAATGATTTTCAATCAACATCTGAACTCTCTTTAATTGTATTTCAGTCCACTTAACGAACTGACGAGTGTGAGAGGGGACAGGGTTTACAATTGAAGCGCAGTCCTCTAAGTATTTCTTGGTGCACGTGATTTCCAAGAAGTCACAAATTTTCATGAGGGTTTCACGCGGGTTTTTCATCAAATCCATGCTATGCACGTCGAGTACACGACCTGGAAAGTTCTTCTTGACTTGAGAAGTTCCCTCCACCTGGGTACTGTATTCCCCTATGGAATCATCAAGCTCCTTGTGACAATCGCACTGCAATTAGCCAATGAACATAGACATGGGAGCACGTTATCAAGAAAATCATAACAAAAAAATGTATCAGCATAAACAAACAAACAAACAAAGGAAAAATTCATCATAAAAAAAAAGCTAAATAAAACAGACAAACAAAAAAGTAAAATAATGACAGGGTGACTGCTACGGGGAGTATGAATGACAAGTTACTTCAATAAACCCTCTTTTAAAATGGTTGGCTTTACTATTACTCTTTTATGTGCATAAAAATTTACCTTCTCGGTAAACGACAGGCAAGTCAAGGCATTTCTTAACCTCGATGGCGAATTAAGACGCTCAAAACCCAGGGTAAGACTTTTTGTCTTCAGCAGGTCGACGTTATTCCCCCCACCCACCAAGTTTTAGTCTCTTCCCTCCCCCCCACCCCATCGCAAAATAACTATAATACCATAGCGTATTGTAAGGTAGATTTAAATGTCTCCGACCACCCACCAACCTCAAGGTTGTCTTGGATTTTGTTTTTCTTGACTTTCGCCTTGCGAAGCGCTAAAGTTGCAATATTATCGAAAGGATTACGCACAACATGAATGAATTTAAGCTCTGTGCCAAGTTTACGCTCTAAATCTCGGAGATGCTCTCTTCCTTCACTTTGGAGTAAAATTGTCGAAGCCTGAGCTGCTTTCTTATCTCCAATCACCTGCGAGAAAAGCACTGGATGTTAAACAATCATTGGATAAGGTTAAATTATCAAACCGAGGTCTGAGATAACACAGGGACGAGGTACGATAACTTATGATACCATGCAAAATCCAAATTAAAGAATTGTTTTATCATTCATATATTCTCTTGTAAAAGGGAGCCATTTCTCTCTCACTTTGGAAAAGTTTGACTCACAAGCGGCTCGGAAACCAGGCAGACTTTGAACTGATAACTGCAATATCCGCTGCAGATATTGGGTCATCATGCATGTCAACTTTCCACGTACATTGATTGAGTGCTGATTGAATGCCATTCAGATTTTTCATAATCAGTCTAATTTGTATTGATACAAAGTAGATTGATTATGATAACCAGATGGTCGTAATTTTCCGTGTTTCGTTTGGCCGGTAGACCATCGTCATGTCTGCGGCAAAAAGAATTCTACGCTTTCCTGCAGTATAAACAGACAATTTTAACCTCTTTCCTATCAAATCTGTTGGTCTCTGTGCATAAACCACAAACTAACCGTTTTCTATGACTTATTAAAGCGCCATGCTGCCATGCCTTGAGTTGGTTTATATTAACTTTTGATAGCAGGACGAGTTTTACCGACTCTGTAAAAAGCGTAAATCAAGTGGTCTATGCCTCTTGTTAGATAGTTCCGAAAGATGGAGTGCTTGCAACTTGGATAACAACGTCGTATTCTGGCGATTAATTTAGCAACAAACCACTAGTTGGTTTGACGCTACAATTTTCTTCAAGCAGAAAAAATGCCAACTTTCCTTCTCGGCGAGTAGTTTGGTAATTTCTGAAGGTCTGTTTATTTTTTCGCGCAGCGAAAAATTAAGGCTTAAAAGGGACCAATCAGTTAATTGAACTGGATTTTAAAAAGAGATAGGAAAAGTTTGAAATGTGAAATGTTTGCTTAAGCGGAGAAGCTGTTAAGCAATCAATGATCGGCGCCCAAAGTAAGAACAAAGAACTTACGAGTACACTCAGACAGCTTGATACAGACACCTTTTTCCAACGGTAACGACCAAAAGTTGTATGCTTAATACTTAACTTTTTTTTTAAGGCTGGAGAATACTTTGATGACTCAGTTTAAAAGAAAAACATACCTTTGTCAATTTAGATGTAAATTTTAGTTAATTTAAGTTTCAACAGAGCTATTACACTTCATTTATCAACTATTGGATTATACACATTGAATGTTTGTCCGGTGAAAAGTTTGTTCAAGAGAAGAAACTGCCGAGTAATAGATGATAAGCAGACTAAATCACAGACTGACTGGGCTTCTTTTTTTTGAACGATTTGTTTCGATTTGGGTACCAATCTCTAAGAACTTACGAGTATGTGCACACAGCTTGATACAAAACCTTTTGTATTAGCAAAGACAAACAGTTATTTCCATAAAAATACTAAGTTGGCATTTTTTCTACAGGATGGATAGTACCTTGGTGATTTAGTTCATATAAATGTTGAGTCGTGAATAAGCTGCCTGTTTCTCTTAAACCCTAAAAAAATTCACCAAATATGAAAAAAAAAAGCCAACAAAAAAATTAAAAAAACACAAAACACCGGTTTAGTACCAGAAAGGCGTTAAAAGACCTAGACCAATGTAAATTTAAACAAAATCATTTAGGGAGACGGATCCTGGAGTCTTATCCAAAATCAACATACATGTATCAAGGCAAGACGATAAGCTCCTGTGGTGAACTGCACAAAACTTATTTAACTTTGTAAATTCGCAAAATCTTCAGTTCACGAGTGATGAACAATTATATATCTGTTTAAGCAAATATTTGTTATAAGTTAGTGGCCAAACAGCTTTTGAAAACGGTTTTTGAAAACCGCAAATAAATGATCTGCAAGACAGTGACTATAATAAAGATGTGGTTAGAAGACACTCTCCATCTATCTTGTCTTTCGTTGATGGGAATTGGCTTTGGTAATGGCATTTTTTTTACGTCGCTTTTGATAATCAAAGTTGTCACAATTCACATATACAGAACGCCGTTGGGAGCCAAACTCAGGTAAACCGTATCGCGCATGAACAGGCTATAACATGTAAACAGTTATTTGCTGGTCACCCACTGAGCTCTAGACCGATGATAATTTTCTTGAAGCAAAGATTTGCCAACATTTAGTTGTTTGGGAAATTCTGGTCGAGAATTTCTGACGGTCTGTCTCCTTTTCAGTTTTCTATAGATTTACAAGTAAATATCCAGTGATTTTTGACCAATTAGAGCGCACGTTGTGTCCAAGTTATGTCTTAAAGGTAAATGAAAACTATACCTGTACACCCTCACCGATCTGTCCTTGCCACTGACCCTCCACGTTGTAATGATACTGTACTGGGCCCCCGTTTACCAACCGAGAGCGAACGCCGTACATCACATCATAACGTGATTTGGCGTAAATCAGCTCATAGATAAAATGCTTTTTCCTGTCAAATATTTCAGGCATGGTAATCCACTGCTTTAAGATGTTAAAGTCGTTCGCAACAACGACATGTGGATGAGCATCTAACAAAGCAGCAAGTAGGGTGTGCCTGCTTCTGTCGTAGCCAATGAACAACAAAAAAATCCTGACGTTGTCGTAAATTCTGGCATCAAGTGTTGATGGATTTGAACGGTGTAGCTCTTAACAAAAAAAGTGGTTAATCATAATAATGAGACTTATAGCAAAATTAATAAAAAATTGCTCTGAAAAGTTACCATGTACTGTCAAAATTTATATTTAGAGAAATCAACGAGAAAGTCTCTGAAAGTCTCAGATGTGTTTTTATCAGCTGGTCACGGGCCTTTCTTTCAAAAAGGAAGGCTACTTTGGTGATTTTTTAGCTTTGTTAATATGCCTATTAGAATGTAGTTGCCTTCTCGATACAATATTGCTATTAACGTGAAATATGTCACTTGTTGTGAAGAAAAGAAAGGCAAGAGAGGAAGAAATGTTTTTAACATTAATTTGATATGTGAACGTCGAGGAAATGAAAGTCAAATAAGGAAGGGTTCATCAATACAATTACCGTCGTATCCATCAAAACGGGTCATCGTGTTCCAAAGAAATGCATAGATGGCAAGACCAATAATTAAAATTGCGACTTTTAAAACTCGGTGAGACATTCGGATTTTGTATCCTAAAAGTGAAAAAGTAAGGCGTGCACATACTATTAGCAACTCTCAAGATGATTTGAAAAGTTCCTCTTTGTTTTTCATATATAGGCATTAATGCGGGAAAAACTGGCCGACCGCATTTAAATCTATTTGATTGACTTGTAATTTAAATCAAAAATAATTTTGTATTTGCCCGGCAATTTGACGAAAATATTGTGTTATAGCGGCGTTTAAAGGACGATGATCTTGACTTTGAGAATTAGAGAAAAACATTACATACCTTGAAAGCGGTTTTCTCGTTTTTTAGATTAAAAAACGGCAGCTCACAACGGAACGTTGTTGGGCAATGCTATTTAATCATGACCTACTTATACGAATGTTCCATTTTCATTACCTCTCCAGAGACCTTCATCCTGCTGGCTGTGTCGTCAAAACAATGAAAATACCACGTGTACCTAATTTATATTCGTTTTTCTTTAATATGTTAATACTATCTCTTAAACATTTGACAACTTTAAGATTAAATGGTAGCCCTACGGGAGGTGCGATGGATAAAGGAATATTTGTCAAGTTTAAAGAAAAACTACGCTACGCATTTTTTTCAATAGCGACGAATACCCTAGCAGCCAGTATATATTACCATAAATAGATCACCTAGCTTATTATATAGTTCACAATGAGAAAAGAAAAACAAACAAAAACAACAACAGTAACAAAGAAAAAAGGAAAAACCTAAATATTGCTCTTTTCCTTGAACGAGTGCGGAATCCGAGAGTCTGGGGATCGGTTCCTCGGAGGGACTCGGAACTTTTTTTCTTTATCTCAAAACCAAAAAAAAAAAATTTAAAAAAACATTTTGAAGATCTTTTAATTTTCAAATGAATATGATTGAAGGAATGAATGATTTTCAATCAACATCTGAACTCTCTTTAATTGTATTTCAGTCCACTTAACGAACTGACGAGTGTGAGAGGGGACAGGGTTTACAATTGAAGCGCAGTCCTCTAAGTATTTCTTGGTGCACGTGATTTCCAAGAAGTCACAAATTTTCATGAGGGTTTCACGCGGGTTTTTCATCAAATCCATGCTGTGCACGTCGAGTACACGACCTGGAAAGTTCTTCTTGACTTGCGAAGTTCCCTCCACTTGGGTACTGTATTCCGCTATGGAATTATCAAGCTCCTTGTGACAATCGCACTACAATTAGCCAATGAACATAGACATGGGAGCACGTTATCAAGAAAAATCATAACAAAAAAATGTATCAGCATAAATAAACAAACCAACAAAGGAAAAATTCATCATAAAAAGAAAAAGGTAAATAAAACAGACAAACAAAAAAGTAAAATAATGACAGGGTGACTGCTACGGGGAGTATGAATGACAAGTTACTTCAATAAACCCTCTTTTAAAATGGTTGGCTTTACTATTACTCTTTTATGTGCATAAAAATTTACCTTCTCGGTAAACGACAGGCAAGTCAAGGCATTTCTTAACCTCGATGTTCCTTAAACATTTGACTGAACAATTAAAATCATTCGACAAGAAGATTATTTCATTCAGAAAGCTTCGATCTATTGATTTTGATAATTTCTGTGCTGATGTTATGAATTCGAGCCTTCCTGATCTTTTTGCCTCGTCATCGTCATCCTTGGATTATTTGATTGATCAATATAACAGAGTCCTTACTACCATACTTGAGACTCATGCTCCACTGCAAAAAAAGTTAGTTACTTTGCGTCCCGCTGCACCTTGGTATTCTGAGGAGATAAATAATTTAAAGAGATCCCGTAGAAAACTTGAACGACGCTGGCGAATGACCAAACTTCCTTCTGATCGTAAGTTGTTTATTGAGGGATGTGATGCTGTCAACAACTTAATTCGTGATTCCAAGAAGAATTATTTCGCATCATTAATCAATGAGAATCAGTCAAATTATAAACAGCTTTTTAAGATAATTGATAAACTACTACAAAGGAAAACAGATATTCAATATCCCCCTGCAAATCGCCCACTGATCTTGCTAACAAGTTTATTAAGTACTTCACTACAAAGATAGATAGAATACGGGGTAATATAACGTCTGCTGCTTTCTCTCATCGAGATACAGTTGCTGTTGTTGACAACGCCTGTCCATATTCTTTTGATACTTTCAAAATGGTAACAGCGGATGAAGTTCATAAATGTATCATGAATCTGGCTGCTAAGTCATGTGCTCTTGATCCTCTTCCTGGTTATGTTACAAGAAATGCACTTAGTGTTCTGTTGCATTTCATTTCCAAAATCATAAATATCTCATTGGAATCTGGTCAGATGCCTTCGCAACTCAAGGTTGCAATGTTACGCCCGCTCCTTAAGAAATCTTCTTTGGATCATACTCAATTCTGCAATTATCGTCCTGTATCGAATCTTTCATTTTTATTAGCAAAGCAATTGAAAAATTGGTAGCTAATCAACTTATCTCCTACATTAACGAATATGAGTTAAATGAGACATTCCAGTCGGCGTACAAGAAATATCACAGTGCTGAAACTGCACTTATTCGTGTTCACAATGATATTCTTTCTGCCATTGATAATCGTCGAATCGTAATCTTACTGTTATTAGACCTTTCCGCTGCCTTCGATACAGTCGATCATACCATCATCCTCCTCTCGTTTACGTGTACGGTTTGGGATAGCTGGGAAGCCTCTATTATGGTTGCAATCTTATTTATCGAATCGCACGCAATATGTCTCCGTTGATGGTGGTACTTCGACGAAACATGACCTTAAATGTGGAGTGCCACAAGGATCTGTCTTGGGACCCATTTTGTATTTGCTTTATACTTCACCGCTTTCAGATATCGTAAAGAAATTTAACCTGAGCTATCATTTTTATGCTGACGACTCACAGCTTTACTTGTCTTTCCAACCAACCGTACTGGGTGATAGGGATCAAGCGGTTTCTAGCATCGAGAGCTGTGTGGATGAAATCAGTCATTGGATGATGGTTAATCGTCTTAAATTAAATAAAGACAAAACTGAATTATTGGTAATTTCCGCTAAACATCTTCCAAGACCACTCCTTCACGAAATTTCAGTTGCTGGTGAGACTATCCCTTCCGTGCAAAAGGCGAGGAATATCGGCACTATGTTCGACAGCCATTTTTGCTTTAAGGATCATATTACTGACATTTGTAAATCTTCATTTTATCATTTGCGAAATATTAGCTATATCAGGAAATATCTTTCAGCGACCACTACTGAATTGCTGGTTCATATGTTTGTATCTTCGAAGCTGGATTTCTGCAATTCCCCTTTTGTATGGCCTACCAGCCTACGCTATAAAAAGGCTACAACACGTCCAGAATGCCGCGGCGCGCCTCGTCACACTTACAAAAAATCATGATCACATTACGCCTGTTCTTTTCAATCTTCATTGGCTTCCCGTTAACCAACGTATTATTTTTAAGATTTTACTTATAACCTACAAGGCACTTAACAACTTGGCACCGTCGTACATTTGTGATCTGCTAACATCTTACACCCCATCGCGTCAACTACGCTCATCATTCAAGCACCTTCTGGTTTCTCCATCCTATAACTTGAAAACATATGGCGCAAGATCCTTCTCTGTAGCAGCACCATCATTATGGAATGCTTTGCCAAGTGAAATTAGAAATGCTCAGTCTGTTTCTGTTTTTAAACGTAGATTAAAAACTTTACTCTTTAGAAAAGCCTTTTATAATTAATATTAGCTGTCTTAAGTGTTAATGTTTAAGCTTTTTTGTTGGCGCCGTTGAACAGTAGGATACTGGCGTGGTATAAATCTTTTATTATTATTATTATTATTATTATTATTATTTATAATTAATATTAGCTGTCTTAAGTGTTCAAGTTTTTTTTTTTTTTTTTTTTTTTGTAGGCGCCTTTGAACAGTAGGATACTGGCGCGGTATAAATCTTTTATTATTATTATTATTATTATTATTATTATGAATTAAAAAAAACAAAACAAAACAAAAAAACCAAAAAACCAATGGACGACTTCAAGGGAGAAACTTTTTCGTTCTTTTTTATTTTTTACCTCTCGGTTTTTATTGTTTGCTCAGTACGCAAGGAACTCAAACTCTGCAAGAGGGTCTCAATTGGGTCAATCTCTGTAAGAGGGTATCAATTTGGTCAAACTCTGTAAGAGGGTCTCAATTGGGTCAAACTCTGTAAAAGGGTCTCAATTTGGTGAAACTCTGTATGAGGGTCTCAATTGGGTTAAGCGTCAGCCGTAAAATGGCAAAAAACGTTTAGCAGTTTGGCGTAAAAATTGATGTTTTTGGAATTGTAACCGCTTGATGTAAAAAATACTCGCTGTTAAATATATGTTTTCATCGTTACGGAAATAAAAAGTCATCACCCCACTGAGACATTCCCGCAAGGAATGGAGGAGCTGGGGGACATTTCTCGCCCGTGTCGAGGAGGTATTGGTTTTGAGCCCATCGATTCCCCCTATAGGTCTCGAGAAAGTTAGAAAGAAAGCTGAATTTCAAGTTTGAAAACGGGCACGGAAAATTACATGGCTTGGTTAAGATATAAGGTATTTTAATTTTGGAGAAACAAACGCAACAAAAATTCCCGGAAGTAATTCCTTTCCGGTTAAGGTGCACTCTTTTCCAATAGCCCTAACGTTCACGTTCATAATTCTAAAATTATCACCACTAATCGGCGTTACCACCAGCGCCTTTGTTTGGAGGCTTGGCATATTAACTCCGCCCACGCTCCTTTAAATCGCGACGATGGCGGTTTGCTTCCTGACGCTTATTTACACCTCGTCAGAAAAAAGGCCGCTAATTAGTGATAATATAAAAGGACCTCTTGTTGCAGCGTTTGGATCACCCCTGATGAAGGCACTAGACAGGAGTGTCGAAACGTTGGGCCTATGAATTGTAACTTCTTCGGTTACATTCATTAAATATGCAAACCAGAGTAGCATCAAACTATGTCTAAATGAACTTGTTTTTTTTTGCACCAAAAAAATGGAAACATTTTGAAGATCTTTTAATTTTCAAATGAATATGATTGAAGAAATGAATGATTTTTAATCAACATCTGAACTCTTTTTAGTTGTTTTTCAGTCCACTTAACGAACTGGCGAGTTTTAGAGGGGACGGGGCTCACAATTGAAACACAGTCCTCTAAGTATTTCTTGGTGCACGTGATTTCCAAGAAGCCACAAATTTTCATGAGGGTTTCACGCGGGTTTTTCATCAAATCCATACCGTGCACGTCGAGTACACGACCTGGAAAGTTCTTCTTGACTTGCGAAGTTCCCTCCACCTGGGTACTGTATTCCGCTATGGCATCATCAAGCTCCTCGTGACAATCACACTGCAATTAGACAATAAACATAGACATGGGAGCACGTTATCAAGAAAACCATGACAAAAAAAAATGTATTAGCATATACAAACTAACAAACAAAGGAAAAAAAAAAAGAAAAAAAGCTAAATAAAACAGACAAACAAAAAGCATCATTATTACTCTTTTATGTGGGTGAATCTCTATCTCCTTGGTAAACGACAGGTAAGTCAAGGAATTTCTTAACCTCGATGGCAAATAAAGACGCTCAAAACCTAGGGTAAGACTTTTCGCCTTCATCAGGTCGACGTCACCGCCCCATCCACCAAGATTTAGTCCCCTCCCCCCTCTCAAAATGACTGTAACACCATGGCATATTGTGAGGTAGATATATATGTATCCAACCACCCACTAACCTCAAGGTTGTCTTGGACTTCGTTTTTCTTGACTTTCGCCTTGCGAAGCGCTAAAGTTGCAATGTTATCGAAAGGATTACGCACAACGTGAATGAATTTAAGCTTTGTGCCAAGTTTGCGCTCTAAATTTCGAAGATGCTCTCTTCCTTCGCTTTGGAGCAAAATTTTTGAAGCCTGAGCTGCTTTCTTATCTCCTATCACCTGCAAGAAAAGAACTAGATATTAAACAATTATCAGGTAAGGTTGAGTTATCAAACCGAAGTCTGAGATAAAACAGGCACAAGGTATGATAATTCATGGTACCATGCAAAATCCAAATTAGCGAATTGCTTTATCATTCATAATTTTTTTAATAGGGAGCCATTTCTCTCTGACTTTGGAAAAGTTTGGCTTACGAGCGGCTCGTAAACCAAGTAGACTTAGAAATGATACATGCAATATCTGCTGCAGGTGTTGGGTCATCATGTCAACTTTACACGTACATTGATTGAAAGCCATTCAGATTTTTCCTAATTAGTCTAATTTGTATTAATACAAATTGACGCCGTTATTATAACCAGCTGGTCATAATTTTCCGTGTTTCGTTTGGCCGGTAGACCAACGTCATGTCTTCGGTAAAAAAAAAAAAGTTCTGCGCTTTCCTGCAGTTTGAAAAGACAAATTTAACCTCCTGCTTATCAAATCTATCTGTCTCTGTGCGCAAAACACAAACTATAACTGCTTTCTATGACTTATATGACTTGACCATCATGCTGACTATTGATCACATGACGAGTTTTACCGGCTCAGTAAGAAGCGTAAGTCCAGTGATCTTTGCCTCTTGTTAAATAGTTTCGAGAGATGGAGTGCTTGCAACTTGAATAATAATGTCGTATTATGGTGATTAGTTGAGTAATAAACCACCAGTTGGTTTGTCTCTACAATTTTCTTGAAGTAGAAAGAAATGCTAACTTTTCCTTCTCGGCGAGTAGTTTGGTAATTTCTGAAGGTGTCTCTTTTTTCGCGCAGCGAAAAATTAAGGCTTAAAAGGAAGCAATCAGTTAGTTGGACTGAATTTTAAAAATAGATTTGAAACGTTTGAAGTGTGAAATGTTTGCTTAAGTGGAGAAGCTGTTAAGCAATCAATGATCGGCGCCCATAGTAAGAACAAAGAACTTACGAGTACACTCAGACGGCTTGATATAGACACCTTTTTCCAACTGTAACGACAAAAAGTTATTTTCATAGAAATACTTAACTTTGATTGTCATTTTTTTTTCAAGGCTGGAGAATACTTTTATGTCTCAGTTTAAAAGAAAAACACATCTTCGTTAGTTTAGATGCAAATACTTAACCTTCACTGTCATTTTTTTTCCAGGCTGGAGAACACTTTGATGATTCAGTTTAAAAGAAATAAACCTTTGTCAGTTTAGAAGCAAATTTTTGTTAACTTAAGTTTCAACCGAGTTATTACACTTCATTTATCAAGTATTAGATTATACACATTGAATGTTTGTCCAGTAAAAAGTTTTTTAAGAGGAGAAACTGCTAAGCAATGGATGATCGGAACACAACAGACTGAATCACAGACTGACTGGGCCTTTATATTTTAAACGATTTTTCCCGATTTGAGCACCAATCTCTAAGAACTTACGAGTATGTGTATACAGCTTGATACAAAATATTTTGTTATATACCTAGACTATCACTCAACAAAACGAGCACTGTAATTTGTTGATTTTTGGTCACGTGCCTCTGATGAAATTCAAATGTATCCCGACCGAATACAAGTGCGCAGTTGTTGCCCGCGCGCCGAATGCAACAGCATGTTTTTGCCATATGACTCAGGGCCGTAGCTAGCATGAGGCAAGACCATTTTGGCCCAAGATTGACTTCCTGAAGAAAAATGCCACGGAAAGTGCTTAAAAGAGCATTTCAGAGCCTCTAGATTTCAAAATATCTGGGGGGGCATGCCCTCATACCCTCCTATCTGCGCTTGAAACTTGCCTCGTCTTGTTCTGAAGTTTGGCTACGGCCCTGTGTCTGTTAAAGGATAAGTCTAACAACAAAGCACTCAATGCATCTTTGACTCTTGCGTAAAAAAAAGTTAATTTAAAGCCTCTTCTTTACGGACAAGTTCCACGTTCCGTAAAGATGCGTAAATGCAGAAAAGAGGATGGATAGTACCATGGGGATTTAGTTTATAGATATGTTAGGTCGTGAATAAGCTGCTTGTTGCTCTTAAAACCTAAATAAACTAAATAAAAATGAAAAAAAAATACCGGCCTAGTACCAGAAAGGCGTGAAAAGACCTAACCAATGTAAATTGAAACAAATATCATTGGAGTAGACCAGGGATCCTAGAGTCTTGTCCGAAAATAACATACATTTATCAAGGCAAGATGATTAGCCCTTGTAATGAACTGCAAAAAACTGATTGAACTTCAAAATCTCCAGTTCAAGAGAGATGAACAGTTATATACGAGTTAAAGCAAAAGTTTGTTATGAGTTAGTGACCGAACAATTTTTCCAAAACCGCAAATAAATGATTTGCAAGACAGTGACTACAATTCGGATGTCGTCAGAAGAGACACTCTTCATCTATCTTGTCTTTCATTGATGGGAATTCTGGTAATGGCTTTATATTTATAATCGAAGTTTTCACAATTTACATATGCAGAACATCGTTGGGAGCCAAACTCGGGTAAACCGGATCGCGCATGAACAGATCATAACATACAAACAGCAATTTGCAGGTCACCCAGTGAGCTGTAGACCAATGAAAATTTTCTGGAAGCAAAAAATTGCCTACATTTAATAGTTTGGATAATTCTAATCGAGAATTTCTGACAATCTGTCTCTTTTTTTACGCAGGAGAACAATCAGTTAGTGGAACCGAATATTGAATAAGAGATTTGATAATGATAAAAAATATATATAGTTTTAGTCGACGTTCAAAGCGTCCTCCTCGTTTCCTCCAAATCAAAGGCCTTCACCAAATTAAAATCTGGAAATTTTCCCCTTGTTTTACCAGACGGGAAGATGTTACAGTTTTCTATGGATATACAGGTAAATATCCAGCGATTTTTGACCAATTAGAGCGCACGTTGCGTCCAAGTTATGTCTTAAATGTAAATGAAAACTGTACCTGTACACCCTCATTGATCTGTCCTTGCCACTGACCCTCCACGTTGTAATGATACTGTACTGGGACCCCGTTTACCAACCGAGAGCGAACACCATACATCACATCATAGCGTGATTTGGCGTAAATGAGCTCATAGATAAAATACTTTTTCCTGTCAAATATTTCAGGCATGGTAATCCACTGCTTTAAGATGTTAAAGTCATTGGCAACAACGACATGTGGATGAGCATCTAACAAAGCAGCAAGTAGGGTGTGCCTGCTTCTGTTGTATCCAATGAACAACAAAAAAATCCTGACTTTGTCGTAAATTCTGGCATCAAGTGTTGATGGATTTGAACGGTGTAGCTCTTTAAAAAAAAGGGTTAATCATAATAATGATAGTAATGGTGAATTAATGAAGGAGTTCTCTGAAAAGTTACCAGGCTTTGTCAAAATTTATATCTAGAGAAATCAAGGGTAAATGTAGCTCTGACTGAAAGTCTCAGATGTGTTTTTATCAGCTGGTCACAGGTCTTCCTTTCCAAAAGGAAGGCTGCTTTAGTGCTATTTTAGTTTCGTTAATATGCTTATTATAATGTAGTTGCCTTCTCGACAAAATATTGCTATTAACATGAAATATGTCACTTGTTGTGAAGAAACGAAAGGCAAGAGAGGAAGAAATGTTTTTAACATAATTTGATATGAGAACTTCGGGGAAATGAAAGTCAAATAAGGAGAAGTTCATCGATTCAATTACCGTCGTATCCATCAAAACGGGTCATCGTGTTCCAAAGAAGTGCATAGATGGCAATACCAATGATTAAAATTGCGACTTTTACAAATTGGTGAGCCATTCCGGATTTTGTATCCTAAAGTGAAAAAGTAAGACGTGCACACACCATAAGCAACTCTCAAGATGATTTGAAAAGTTCCTCTTCGTTATTCATCGATAGGCATCAATGCGGGAAACTCATGCCGACCGCGTTCAAATCTATTTGATTGACTTGTAATTTAAATAAAAAATAGCTTTGTCTTTGCTTGGCAATTAATGATATTGTGCTATAGCGGAGTTTAAAGGACTGTGATCTCAAATTTAAGAAATAGAGGAAAAAAATTACATACCTTGAAACCGGTTTTCACGTGAACGTGCCGTTTAAAAAAAAAAACAAAAAAACTGCAGCTCACAACGGAACTTTGTTAGGCAATGAAAAAAACAATGAAAATGCTACGTGTACTTAATTTAAAATTTGTTTCCTTTAATATGTTAATACTATCTCTTAAACATTTGACAACTTTAAGATAAAATGGTAGCCCTACGGGAGGTGCGATGGATAAAGGAATATTTGTCAAGTTTAAAGAAAAACTACGCTACGCATTTTTTTCAATAGCGACGAATACCCTAGCAGCCAGTATATATTACCATAAATAGATCATTTGCTACCTTGACATGAAAGTAAAATTCTAGATATTATATTTTCGATCGACTGATGGCTGCTAGTAAGTGAATGAAAACCTATTGAAATGATTAATATTGTGTATAGAGATATATGTTAACAAACTTTATCTTAACATTACATCACCCTTCTCTTTCAAAAAAGTTTCTATTGCATTGAAGCCATTGTTAATCTTCATTTTATCTGCTTTTCTTTGCTTTTGTAGGTAGGTGATGAATCTAACGGATTTCTACAAGAATGAAATATTTTCGTGTTAACGTTGTAATTGCCTCGCTGCTTCTACTCGTAACAGCTTTGTTATTCTGTACCAATCTGCATCCTCGTCCATCCATCGATGTTCTTTCTAACGTCATTCCTCAGCCTAATGGTAAGTAAACTCCTATGGTGAATCTTTGTTAACTATTACAAGTTGTAGGGAGGTTTCTTGACTAGATTCTGCAGCATTGCTGTTCATCCTTAGCCTTCTTTTTTTTTTTTAATATATTTGTAAAATCAAAATCTATTTAACTATTGGTATCCAATGATTTCAGGGAATCTAAAGATAAAGCTCAACTCCAAAGCAAAGCCTGCAAGAAACACTTTCATTTAAAGCAAACATTATAACTATTCCGAAAACACTCCATGACATGGCCTAGTTTTAAGCTTTACGTGAGAGCGAGATTGACACAAGTTGAATCTTTAAATCACTCCATTCTCCCCAAGAGGTTGTGGACGCCTTAGTTCATGAATAGTCTTGGGTTTTTACACGAAGGACGACTGCACAGGCTCGAAAAGTTATATAAATGTGAAAAGACCTTGATTTGATTGTACTTAAATGAAATTAATTTACGTTGAATGTGCTTTGTCATGTTGTTCGCGTTTTTATAACAGTTTCCCAACCTCCAAATGAAGAATATCTCTGTTATTGATTTTCACGGTATTTTGTCTATGAATACAATTTTATCTTGTATTTTGTGCGAAGTTATTTGAAAACTCAGCTCTTCGAATTTTTAATTATCTATCTATCTCTTTGAAAACTACTTACCTTTGCCATAAGAGTACTTCTACTCAATTTACATGCTTCTATTTGATTGAATTAACTCCTTAAATCCATTTAAAATTTCACTAGGACAATTCTCTGGTGGACATCTAGAGCTGCGGCTCAACAAGTTATACGATGGTGTCGAAACTCTTGTTTTATTCATTGGCCACGCTCGTAGTGGTCATAGTCTCATCGGAGCCATTTTGGATGCTCACCCAGAGATTATCATTCCTCACGAATATAATTTGATAGTAAAGTGGAGTGAATTCAAACTGAAAAGCGGCAGTGGGCTAAAGACTCGTGTCCTTTTTGCCCTGCACGCCTTGTCACGATTTCAAGCAATGTTTGGAAACCGTGCAGCATCACGCCGTAGCGGTAGTGGGTATAGTTACTCTGTACCTGGACAGTGGCAGGGAACGTATAAAGAAAGAGTAAAGGTATAAATTGGGGTTAGTTATAATAGGTATATTAGTAAATGCGAGAGGGGTGGAGAAGGGGGAGGGGGGGGGGAATTGGGTATTCCATCGAGTCCAGATGATCATAGAAGAAGAATTTCACTGAATAGAATTGATTTAAAGCTACGTTTAGAATAATTGTTCGAACTTGAAGCATAGAAAAACAAAGTTCCCTCGTAAACATCCTTATTTCAGGTGACTGAAGAACTGAAATACCATCAGTAAGCTGGATTCAGGGAATGAATTCTAAGCGGATACTACGCATCCAAACGTGTATCATGATTATGTTTTACTTTTTCAGCACCTAACTTTACGTTTGTCAATGTAGAATGCATGCAATACTTAAATATTTCGACTTGCACCACGTCACTGTTCCAAATTTGTAACGTTGTTAACTGCAGCAACTATTCATTTTTCAGCTAAAAAGATCATATTCAGGAAAATACACCCATTTATGCGTAACTTTTCAACCTTTTTTTATTGCAAGGTCATTGGAGACAAAAAGGGAACAGCAACAAGCCATTTGTTAGAAAATCCAAAAAATTTTGATATTTTGGAGGATATAAGCAGAACACTTACCCTAAAACTTAAATTCATTCACGTTATCAGAAACCCGTTTGACAATATTGCCACTAAATTGCTGAGAAATCTCGAGGTCAGGGCCATGGCTAAAAGCAGCACGTTTAAAGTAAGTTTCTTGTAACTTTCGAAAAACTCATAGTTAGCTAGTTTTGTCCGGTAGTCTTAGATCCCATTCACACCAAAACTTAAACATGTATTAAAGCTGTTTAGTTGAAGTCTGTTATATTTTTTTCTTATTCGTATAGGCTGCATAAAGCGACGTTTGTTGACTTCAAAGTGACACATTGAAAATACAAGTTAACGATTATTTGAATTTTATGGAACATTCTGTGAAACTAAACTTTTTTTGCTGGGGTGAATGTGATTTAGACTTCTTGTATCTTCTTTCTAAAACTTATTGCACCTTCGAAGGGGTGAGACTATCTGTCATATACAGTTTACATGTATTTCAAGACCTTTAACCTTTCCTCTTTTGAAAATTACAGGAAATATGGCAATTTTGTCAGTGCAACTGTAATTAAGTAGTATTAAAATTTGTTTTGAAAAAATGTCTTGCTTGTTTTGTTTCGCAGGCAAGCAATGTAACCTTGTTGGATAAAATTATCGACGACTTTTTCGCCAAAGTAAAGTCCGCAGAGAGACTGAAACGATATGGGAAGTTCGAAGTACTAGATGTCTACGGTCATGAAGTTATTTCCAAACCCCGTGAAAGTCTGCAAAACCTATGCAACTTTCTAAAAGTAGCCTGTTATCCAGACTTTGTCGAATCTGCCTCAGAACTACTGTACGCTAAGCCGTCGTTGACGAGACATGCGGTCGCGTGGACTTCAAAACAGAAGGCAAGAATTATGAACGAGATGAACAAGTACTCTTTTCTGGAGCGTTTTTCTTTTGATAGTGATTATAAATAATTATAAATTTTCTTTTAATGGATGAGTGTTGATGAAGCTTAAAGCGTTCATACTCTGTATAGAAGAGAACAGTACTCTTTGCAAAAAATTTCATCTTGGACTCAAACGAGCAACATCAGACCGTGTTTGAGATAAGCATCAAAGTCTTCTGGTGACACTAATTAAAAAGCTTTATTTCTGGATTTCCTTCATGACTTTCTCTTTGTGTTCGTTATTCCATTCTAACAAATGCGTAGTCCGAGATGAATTGGAATAGAGATCTCTTGTTGCTAATTCGACAAAATCACTGTAACAAGAAACACCAACAAAGTCACATACCAGCTGTTTACATTGAGAATCTGATAGTGCCTAATTATATGAAGATATGGAACTGCCTGTGCTTTGATGAAATATTTTTCGATGCAGAAGTCGAGGTTGGTTGCATTCCCTACCCTATAAGAAAATCATAAGGTTTTAGATTGTGATTCAATGACAACTAATTATTATTTTATCAAAACAGTTTATGTGAATATATGTATCGCAAACAAAACAGTAAATCACAAATATTCTAACAGAACTAATGATAATAATAAAACAAAGAAAAAATGAACGATATATAGTGGATATTGCACAAGGACAAGAAGTTATGAATTCCATGTACGAGTGGCAAGTACAATATTGCGGCCCTGATCCCGGATGTAGCGATCGTATTGATTCTGCGAGTGTTTTAGTTCCTGGTAAAACACTCCAGTCCATATAGCAAAATCAAATATTATCATGAAAAATAAAAGGTTTACTTTGATAAGAACCAGTGAGAAATAATGGAAAACAAACTTCTATATTTGCTTACTATTTGAAGACTTCCAGGATTCACACCATTATTAAATGGATTTCTGATGACGTTAATCAATGCAATTTCAACAGTAATGGTCATCTAAGTACCGACATACAGGTGTATAATGAAAGACAAAGTAACCAGAAAAATATAATAGTTGGCAAAACAAAAACTACTGTGGCTTTTCTATATTTTTGTAAATACAAGCGCGAAAGACCTTGAGTAAATCGAAAATGGATATCATGAAAAGTTTATGCTTAGGCATGTTCCAAACAAACTTAAAAATTTTCCAAAAATGATTGGTCATCACCAACCCGATTTTAGCACTAATAGGACAGTGTACGCAAAATGCTTGTAATTGGAAAGTGTAAAAAGAGAGAAACGTTATGCCTTTGTATATGAACAGTGCGCATCATGTGCTCGTGCTGTTGCTGTTTTTTGAAAACGTATAACACATTCTAGTTTCGTTCTGAAATTTTGTCATAGTTTTGAACAATTGGTAGCCGGAATACAAGTCGTCCAATTCTGTCGGTAATCATATTCGTAATTAAAAAAATCCCACGGCACGGTTGCTCGATTTTTTTCATTACTCGTGTTACATGGTTTTCTGGGGGAATGGAGGGGGATGTATGAGTATCGATTTCTATTTTGATTTTTCTGAATAGCCGCTGGTCAGTAAGCAGACTGCTTCATCCTTGTTGGAGATTTATAAGACTTAACTTACTTGCTAATAAAGACCAGAATAAAGAAAACCCCTGAGAAATTGAAGTCTGGACTTCCTAATCCGGTTCTTTTCAGAACATGGGCCCTTTCAAATATCTCGTACCTTAAGTTTACTTTTGCAATCGCCTTGCCAGCCTCCTTTGATGTTGTAGCGGCAGGATAAGGAGCTCGGCTGTTGCAAATTGACGAACGACTTCCAAACATGGCCTGTGGACGCGAGCGAGCATGTATGTCATAGAATATCCTCAGCTTACGCTCATCGTTTGTTTGGCTAGGATCCATAAAGAAACTGTCAAACTTATAAAGCAGATTAAACTCATCCAAAATAATTATTTCTGGATGGGAACCTAAAATGGCAGCCACCAAACTATGACCGCTTCTTGAATGTCTAACGAAGAGCACAAAAGTTTCAACATTGCGATATAAAAATGTCAGTTCACGGTCCAGTTCTCCTTGAAAGAAGAAGAAGAAGAAAATGCGATTCAATTACTTAATTAAGACAAAGAGAGTGTCCTGAAAAAAAATAAATTTAAAAAAAAAAACCGATTAATTCACGGAAGTACCTAAGATTAAGGGAGTGTACTATCAAAATGGTTTGTCCTACTGTATGAACTAAGACACATGAATTTTTCCCATGTACGCTTTTTTTGAAATTCGCACCTTGATTGTGATTACGGGTCTTTAGCTCAAACTTGGGTAAAATACAAGACTAAGAGCCACACAAAAGAATTGCCATCCCCAAGCCAATACAAACGGGGCCAAATTTGAGCCTTTTTCACCCAAAGAGGCCGCTGAAATTCGTTCGATTTGACATCAGAGATAATTGTGTAGACAGGCACAAATCAATGCTTCTTCGGTGACGTGGTTGCTTAAGTTAAGAAGCTGCTAAGCAATCTATGATCGGCGCACACAGCCGGGAAATGACCAACACTGACTGTGCCTTTGTATTTTGAAACAACTAATTATGACTATTCGGTTTGAGTTGTAATCTCTAAGAACTTACGAGTATATGCAGACAGCTTGACAATGACAATAACAACGGAAAGTTTTTTTCCATAGGGATACTCAACTTTCGAATCGACAAATTTTTAGAAACGGACTTTAGATCAACAATCGGCAATCACCAAAACGACGAACATGGAAAGGGTTCTTAGACCATCTAGAGAAATTTCAAGATTTCGAAGAAATGCCAGAGTAAACTAGATTGTTTTTTATGCGCGTACTCAGACTAAAACTGAACAAACAGAGTCTGTGATTCGATCCGTGCAAAAGTATTTACCCAATCGATTCACTTTATATATTGTTTCTTTCGCCTTAACGTTTTTATCATTCTTGCCGCAATATTCTCGTATTATTTCTATGTATATATTTTAGAGCTTTAGTCAGTATCTCATTACCATTTTTACAATTGATTGTATAAGCGCATGATTTTATCCTTCAATTTGAAAATGACCGTTGAGCGGTTGTAACATCATTGCCTTTTTGATGTTAATTTTTATCGTAGAATCTGTTTCTAAAAATATGTTGATTCGAAAGTTAAGTATTCCCATGAAAAATAGATAACTTTTCGTCGTTATTGTTTATATCAAGCTGTCTGCATATACTCGTAAGTTCTTAGAGATTTCAACTCAAACTGAATAATCATAATCAATAATTTCAAAATACAAAGGTACAGTCAGTGATTGGATATTTCCCTAGGTGAGCCGGTCATCGATTGCTTAGCAACCTCTTAACTTAAGCAAGCATTTCACCGAAGAAGCATTTAACGTGTGTAGATTACGTACACGACCGGCTATAAATGAATGATCGGTACCTGTCTGCACAATTATTATCCCTGATGTCAAATCGAACGAATTTCAACGGCCTCTATGGGTGGAAAAGGCTCAAATTTGGTCCCGTTTGTATTGGCTTGGGGACGGTAGTTCTTTTGTGCGGCACTTGGTCTCGTGTTTCACCCAAGTTTGAGCTAAAGACCCGTAATTACAATCTAGGTGCGAGTTAAAAAAAAGGCCTACACGGGAAGTTAAATCCCGAGTAGAAAAGCATTCATCAGAGCACAGTTAATGACGGATGAAGAAGAAGAACGATGGAAAAAACCAAGGCAAAAAAAATAGAGTATCGAGAATTATGCCAAAACCGTGAATTTTTTTAGTTAAGTGAAAAACCATTTTGATATTCCCTTCCCTTAATCTTAGGTTCTTCCGTAAATTAATCGTTTTTTTTTTCAGGACACTCTCTTTGTCTTCATTAAGTAATTGAATCGCCTTTTTTTCTTTTTCTTCTTTCAAGGAGAACTGGAGCGTGAGCTGACATTTTTATATCGCAATGTTGAAACTTTTATGCTTTTCGTTGGACATCCAAGAAGCGGTCATAGTTTGGTTGCTGCCATTTTAGATTCCCATCCAGAAATAGTTATTTCGGATGAGTTTAATCTGCTTTATAAGTTTGACAGTTTCTTTATGGATCCTAGCCAAACAAACGATGAGCGCAAGCTGAGGATATTCTATGACATACATACTCGTTCGCGCAGACAGGCCATGTTTGGTAGTCGTTCGTCAATTTGCAACAGCTCCCTATCCTACTGCTACAACATCAAAGGAGGCTGGCAAGGTGATTGCAAAAGTAAACTTAAGGTACGAGATATTTGAAAGGGCCCATGTACTGAAAAGAACCGGACTAGGAAGTCCAAACTTCAGTCTCTCGGGGTATTCTCTATGCTGGTGGTTATGAACAAGCAATTTAAGTCTTTCAAATCTCCAACAAGGATAAAACAGTCTGCATACAGCGGCTATTTAGAAAAATCGAAATAGGAATCGATGCTTGCATACTCATAACAGAAAAGTTAGCAATGCTTTCAAAAGGAGTCCAACTAATTTTCTAATTGGCAGTCAATTTCCTACGGTACCTGTTTAAGCTTTGTTGACGACAACAGATCCCCCTCCATTCCCCCAGAAAACCATGTAATAAGAGTGATGAAAAAAATCGGACAACCGCGCAGTAGGATTTATTAATTACGAATATGATTACAGACAGAATTGGATAGCACGCAGTCCGGCTAACAATTAGTATAAACTATGACAAAATTTGAGAACGAAACTAAACATCTGTTATACGTTTTCATCAATAAAAAATTAAAACTTGTTTACCCGGCGACTAAGTAGCAACGGTGCAAGCGCACGATGTGCACTGTCCAATTACACAGGCATGACGTTTCCACTCTCTTTTTACCCTGTCCAATTACGAGCACTTCGTGTACACTGTCCTATTAGTGCTCAAATTGGGCTGGTGATGACCAATCACTTTCGAAAATTTTGTCGCAATTTTATTTATACTTATATACCTCCTTTATTAGGGTCTTGTAGTGTTCCTTTACTTCAATTCGATTCATTTTTCCTTGGAAGTGAACGATAAATCAGCCTCGCGTGATATACGTATTGTAGTTAGCATTACTTTTATTGTCGTTTCCAGGGGGCGCTTTCTAAATTTTGTAAATGTGCATAGGTATATGATGGCTGGAACCACAAGTTTAATGGATTTAATGTGACAAAATTCATTATTTACAAATATTGATTAATGCTAAGAAATTAGAACTTCCCTCTGGGCTCTAATTAAAGGGATACATTGCATACCGCTAAATCTTACGGGACTTATTTCCCTATTTTATGGAGCCCGAGTAAATTATTGCCCCGAGCAATGGTTGCTTATTCACAATCGCGTGAGTAAAACTGACTTTTACATAAGATTCCACGTACATTTTCCTCAGGTAATTGGAGACAAAAAAGCATCTGTAACTACCGCACGTTTACATCACGAAAAAGGGCTTCACGATTTGCGAAAACTGGAGAAAGTGCTGGGAATTCCAATCAAACTGATTAACGTCATCAGAAATCCATTTGATAACATTGCTACTATATGTAGAAGGAGACTAGGTGTGAATCCTAGAAGTCATCAAATGGTAAGTAAATATAGGGGTATATCATCTATCGTTTCACATTGGTTCTTATCAAAGAAAATCTTTTATTTTTCATAAAAATACCTGATTTTTTTTTAATGGACTGGAGAGTTTTATCACGACGTAATACACTGGCAGATTCAATACGATCGCTACATATCCGGGATCAGAGCCGCGTATCTTAATCGCGCGGTACGGAATGCACCTAACCTCGACTTCTGGATCGAAAATTATTTTATCAAAGTGCAGACAATTCAATATCGTCATGACCTGAGGCACTATCGGGTTCTCAATGTATACAGCCGAGATCTGAATATTTCGCTTGTGTCATGCAAAGCCTTATATTTTTTTTTTCTCGACAGGTACGCAACACAACAGCGTTGGACTTTTGCATTGATTTTTACTTCACTAAAGTGCGGACAGTTCAATATCTTCGTGATCTGAGGTACTACCAGATCCTGAATGTATGCAGCCGAGATTTGCTGAGAAATCCGCGACACACTTTACAAATGTTATGTGACTTTGTTGGTGTTTCTTGTTACAATGAATTTGTCGAATTAGCAACAAGAGATCTCTATTCCAAATCATCTCGGTCTAGGTATTTGATAGAATGGAGTAACGAACAGAAAGAGAAAGTCATGGAAGAAATCCAGAAATGTAGCTTTTTGAAATCTTTATTTTCGTTTGACAGTGATTAGTGTCACCATTAGACTTTGACACTTATCAATCAACTTTATCATGTTGATTTAAAACTTTCCTTGTAATTGCATACATGCTTCTGTTACTGTTGTTTGTTTTATCCAATCAGCATTTTGTTCTACAGTTTAAATTCAACTTTGTACTTTGTAAAATCAGAACTGAAGGTGACAGAAGAACTGCCGAAACTGTTACGGGAAAATTTACTGATTTTCCCGTGTGTGTTATTCGGAACATATTTATTCGTAAACTTTCACATTTAACCATTTCAAGTCCTTTCATTTCAATAAATCAAAAAATGCATAAAAACCACAGTAGCTTTTGAATAGATTTTTGTTGTTACTCGCTTTCATCATATGTACCTGCTTGTCGGCACTTTTGTTATTTATTACATGGTTTTTTCTAGGTAAATATAAGTGTTAATGGTCTTTCTGGAAACATTGGTTTTCATGGTAGATAGCAGCTGAGTTTATACTCGTAAATTTAATTTCTTTTCATGCAATGGTTTCCAAACCAATCTTGCGTAAATAAGCAGAAACTTTAATTGCTTTTCCGTTTTCTATTTCCTAAGCTGCGCTGCTGCAATTAAGATAGGTATTGTTTTCTATATCAGAGCTGTAAATTCGCACCTAGGTTTCCTACTTTAATGGCCTAGAGTTTATTGCATCCGTCTTTTTAATTTTGAGATACTTTCCGTCGTAGAAACAGATGGAATATTTAAGTAGTTTTCGTTTAACTTCAAAGAGACTTTTTCCGCTCCTTTGTGTCCTTATTCAAATATTGCGATTTGTGTAACAATAGCACTTCGCACCAGTTACTTCTTAAGCAAGTACCTTGTACAGCTTTGATGATTACAAACTAGAGTATGCTAGAGGTCATGTCGCTTGTTGGCCTGACCTAGAATAAAAGTACTGTGGAACCAAAGATTGTCTTATCCTTGACGTCCGTATAAGCTCGCTCGAAGCAGATCTCCGTGTACCAGGAAATCGTGACGAGTTTCCGTTCTCGCTGCCAAGTCGTCTCTACAGAGTTATTTCCCCCAGTTGTTATTGTTCCGTCGCGAAGATTCAGCCCTCCAGTTTGGGCGAGAAAACCTATCGTCACAAAACATGGTTTTAAAAAGTGTCGTTTATTTTCTTAACTCCGTAACATATCTGCTGCTGTCCAGATCATTTGCTACCTTGACATGAAAATAAAATCCTAAGAAAAGACCTGTGCCCTTTTTGCCCTGCACGCCTTGTCACGATTTCAAGCGTTGTTTGGAAACCGTGCAGCATCACCCCGTGACGGTGGTGGGTATAGTTACTCTGTACCTGGACAGTATTAGGGAACGTATAAAGAAAGATTAAAGGTATAGGATGGAGTTAGTTACAATAGGCGTATTAGCAAATGCGAGAGGGGTGGAGAAGGGGGAGGGTGGGCATTGGATATTCCATCAAGTCCAGATGACCATTGAAAAAGATTTTCACCGAATAGAAATGATCGTAAGCTAAGTTTAGAATAATTGCTCGAACTTGAAGCATAGAAAAACAAAATTCCCTCGTAAACATCCTTATTGCACGTGTTTGGATTTCGGATATTCTGAGAAATGAGCCGTTGAGAACTCGATAGGGAGTCATACTTGTGGAGTCAGACAACAAATTGAGTTCACAAGCAATGAGTGTCCGGCATAGTGCATGGATCAGCAAGTCGGAACTGAAAAACTCATAGTTAGCTACCTTTGTCCGGTAGTCTTAGATCCCGTTCACACCAAAACTTAAATATGTTTTAAAGCTGTTTTGTTAAACTCTATTTTATTTTTCTCGTACTCATATCGGCTGCATAAAGTGACGTTTGTTGACTTCCAAAGTGACACATTGAAAATACAAGTTAACGATTACTTGAAGTTTAAGGAACATTCTGTTAAGTTAGACATGTTTTGCTGGGCTGATTTCTAGATATTATAATCAACAATGACATCCATTTTCCTGTCACAAGTGTTTACAGTAAGGAAACCTTCACGGGCTTCCTGACCAATCATTTTAGCTTTATACCTTATCCTTATAAACTGGGTCTCATTCGCACTCTTCTTGGTAGAGCTTACAAGATCAACAACACATGGTTGGGATTCCACGAGGATATCAAGAGAGTCACTGAAATCCTAAAAAATAATCTTTTTCCAGCACATCTACTTGAAAGAGGTTGTCAATCGGTACCTCACGCTGACCTGTAGTGAGTGCTATCTCCCGGTCTCCGTTTCGGACACTGCGCTCACCTTTTATTTCAAATTACCTTACATTGGCCCTCTTTCTAATGTCACGCAAAAAAGGGTTCGCCACCATGCGTTATTTTAACAAGATAGACATTAAGTTGGTTTTTTCATCTTTTAAAATAGGTTATATGTTTGGTGTAAAAGACTCTATCCCTCCTGGGCTCCGTACGTCTGTGGTTTACAAGTTTTTATGTGTGGGTCGTAATGCCTGCTATGTCGGCGAAACCTCCCGGCATTTATCCACACTTGTGCGTGAGCACTTGGTCAGTGATAGGACCTCTCACATTTTCAAATATTTACATAATTCTCCACAATGTCGCACTCTATGTTCTGATAAGTGTTTTAATAGCATCTTGGGTCACGCTTCCACAACTTTCCAACTTAAAATCGAAGAAGCTATCCACATGCAATGGGGGCAACCTACACTTAATCATCAACTCTATCATGTTAATGTAAAACTTTCCTTGTAATTGCATACATTTTTCTGTTACTGTCGTTTGTTTTGTCCAATCAGCATTTTTTTATACAGTTTACATTCAACTGTGTACTTTGTAAAATCAGAACTGAAGATGACAGAAGAACTGCCGAAACATGTTTTTAAAAAAGTGTCGTTTATTTTCTTAAATTCGTAGCGAATGATCTATTTACGATAATATGTATTAGCTGCTAAGGTATCCGTTACTATTGAATAAAAATTGTGCTGTGTAGCTTTTCTTTAAACTTGAAAAATATTCCTTTATCCATTGCACCTCCCGTAGGGATATCATTTAATCTTAAAGTTGTAAAATGTGTAAGAGATATTTGACATTTTAAAGAAAAAAAAATTAGGTACGCATAGTATTTTCTTCGTTTTAACGGCACGGCCAACAGGATAAAGGGCTCTGCAGAGGTAGTGAAAATGAAACATACGTAAAGGTAGGTCATGATTAAATAGCATTGCCTAACAACGTTCCGTTGTGAGTTGCCGTTTTTAATTTAAAAAACGGCATGTTCACGAGAAGACTGGTTTCAAGGTATATAATGTTTTTTCCCTAATTCTTAAAGTCAACAACATAGTCCTTTTAACGCCTCTATGGCACAATATTTTCATCCAATCGCCAGGCAAAAACGAAAATATTTTCGATTGAAATTACAAGTCAATCGAATAGATTTGAACACGGTCAGCCGAAGTTTCCCGCATTGATGCCTATCTATGAATGACAAAGAGGCACCTTTCAAATCATCTTGAGGGTTGTTTATGGTGTGCACGTCTTACTTTTTCACTTTTAGGATACAAAATCCGGAATGTGTCACCAAGTTTTAAAAGTCGCAATGTTAATCATTGGTATTGCCATCTATGCACTTCTTTGGAACACGATGACCCATTTTGATGGATACGACGGTAACTGAATCGATGAACTTCTCCTTGTTTGACTTTCATTTCCTCGAAGTTCACATATCAAATTAATGTTAAAAACATTTCTTCCTCTCTTGCCTTTCTTTTCTTCACAACAAGTGACATATTTCATGTTAATAGCAATATTTTATCGAGAAGGCAACTACATTCTAATAGGCATATTAACAAAGTTAAAGAAGCACCAAAGCAGCCTTCCTTTTGGAAAGAAAGGCCTGTGACCAGCTGATAAAAATGCATCTGAGACTTGCAGCCAGAGCTATATTTACCCTTGATTTCTCTAGATATAGATTTTTTACAGAGCCAGCTAACGTTTCAGAGAATTTCTTCCTTAATTCACTAGTGTTATCATCATTTTGATTAACCCTATTTCTTTTTTAAGAGCCACACCTTTCAAATCCATCAACACTTGATGCCAGAATTTACGACAAAGTCAGGATTTTTTTTGTTGTTCATTGGATACAACAGAAGTAGGCACACCCTTCTTGCTGCTTTGTTCAATGCTCATCTACATGTTGTTGTTGCCAAGATAGATGAAGACTGTCTCTTGACCACATCCTGATTAGCTACTGTCTTGCAGATCATTTATTTACGGTTTTGGAAAAACTGTTCGGCCACCAGCTTATAGCAGACTCGTCAGTAGTTGTTCATCACTCTTGAACTGAGGATTTTGCGAATTTCAAAAGTTCAATCAGTTTTGTGCAGTTCATTACAGGGGGGCATATCATCTTGCCTTGATAAATGTATGGTGATTTTGGACAAGCCTCCAGGAGGAAGCTTTTGGAGGAGCCTCTACCAGGATCTGCGGTCTATCTCAGTTATATTTGTTTCAATTCATATTGATCTAAGTCTTTTCACGCCTTTCTGGTACTAAACCGGTGTTTTCTTTTTTTTTTTTAATTTATTATTATTTTTAATTTATTGAGTTTATTTAGGGTTCAATTAAGAGAAACAAGCAGCTTATTCACGACTTAGCATATCAAAGGATGGCACAAAGATATTCCAGTAGGATATCATCAACAACAGACGGAACTCCCTTGAGAGATAATTGTAAAAGTAAATTTGACAGTTTTTCTTTTTTTTAACACTAAATCACCAAGGTACTATCCATCCTTAAGGAAAATTTTCATGTATTTTTACGGGAATAACTGTTTATCTTTACTGTTCAGTCTGTTGTGTTCCGATCATCTAATGCTAAGCAGTTTCTCCTCTTAAACAAACTTTTCATCGGGCAAGCATTCAATGAGAATATTAAATATTCCTCTCAGACTAATTCACGTCATCGGAAATCCTTTCGATAACATCGCTACCATATGTCGGAGAGAATTGCATTTGGATCCAAGGAATCGTCAAATAGT